ATGGATGGCAAATTTTGGACAGACTGGTATTCCTGTGCAAAGCAGAATCTCATTCAGTGTGATAAGAAGACCACCAGCCCAGGCAAGAGGAAAAGAAGCATTTCAATTGCAGTTTTGGAGGCCGTGTGACCAGAGTAATATCTGATAAGTTAAAATGTTATTCAGGGCACTGTCCTATTGCTTGTACCGTCCTGCTCAGCAGCCTCCAAACTCACAAAGAGGAAGGTCAAGATGCCTTCTTGCTGATACCAGAGTGTAGGACATGGAATAATCAATTCAGGTTGCAACAACCCAGATTCAGGCTGGACATCAAGAAAAGTTTCCTCACTGTTAGAGCAATATGACAGTCGAACCAGCTGCCTGGAGAGGTGGTGGGCTGTCCCACACTACAGACATTCAAAAAGAAACTGGGTGGTCATCTGAGTGGGATGGTGTAACGTGGTGTCCTGCAACATCAGGGGGCTGGATTCTATGGCCTTCATGGCCCTTCCAACTCTACTATTCTAAGATTCAGAGGCTGTTGAGCATCCAGTGCAAAGTCGGAGGCGTGTGAAACTGTTTCCCAGCTCCAAAGGCAGAGCTTTGTTTCTTAGGTCTGGTCTGGAACTGCAAAGTATCCTGCCCTCCTCCAACCCCCAGACCTTGTCTAGGAGCTACGAGATCACTGTTGTAGAAGAGGACAAAGACCTCATGTTGGAACCACTTCCTTCCTGCTCTCTGCTCATAATTACAGATGAGTAAGAATTTTGTATCTCTTAGAGAATTTTCCGAAATTTGCAAATGGTTCCAGATTCAAGAAAAAAAGAATATGAGATTTAGAAACTTAGAATGTGGAACTTTGCCTTGTGAACTGGACTTTGGTACAGTAATAGAACATTATTTTTGGGATGGTGACAAAATGCCTCTTCCCATTATCAGTTAGATCACCTCTAAGGATTATGCCATACCACATCAAGCCTCCTTATTAATTGGGACCTAAACACTTGAAGTAATGTACAGCTATAGTTCAGGCAAAAAATAAATGTGAAGCAACTGTAATTAACTTAGCTTCATTCTCAGAAAGTAATGAAAAAAGGTGGGCTTGGAAAATATACAGCTTAAAGAACTCGTTTGGTCTCATGTAACTCCAGCAAAAGATTAATGCAGCTGTAATTCCTGCAACTGAAGACAAAGTAAGAATTTATAGATACATAACTAGGGGCATACTTAAAGGAACAGTCCACTCGTGCTAAAAATAAATAGATTGTGGCACAAACCATTTCACAGTGAGAGAGATGATTCCCTTACATTATCAGCAGGTGATTTTCCCTCAAGGAAAAATGAGCAATAAAACAATGTGTTATTAGGGCTTGTAGAAGAAAAAGCTTTTTGCCTGCAAAGGCAGGAGATGGGGCAGGTTCAGACAATGTGTTCCCCACTTGTTGAGTATGACACTCAAAGCAGTGAATGTACAGTATCATACCATCAAAAACACAATGGAATATAGCAATACACGATGCAATAGCGATAGGAATCCATGGCAAAAGACATCCTCTGCTCTGTGCTGCAAAGCATGGCTGGCTGGGTCACTCTTCAGGAAGGACCGTGTTAAGAGGTGGGTCTGGATGTGACAACCGAATCTCAGAAATGGGGGGACCTGTCCAGTGACAGCTGGAAATGGAATTCAGAAGGTGGCTGCTCAGCCCACTGTAACTCCGGAAGAACGCCCTCTGGAATGCTCCCTGGATCTCAAAATCAGGTAGGAACATATGGGGTGACATGATCCTCCTGGTATCAAGCACTGTAAGGTGTTCCATGTGAGCAATATTTATTTAAAATTTGTATGCCATCCTTTATATAACTATCTCAGGACGGCTTATGGCAATTTAAAAGAACAATTTAAAAGCATCGAATATCATCCAATAACAATTAAAACAGCAGCACTGTGTAAAACAATAGACATTAAATAAGCCAGATCAAATCAAAACAAAACAAAGCAAAAGCAACTACAAAACCATTAAAACTATAAATTTTTAAAATACCGCTTAAATAAAAAGGTTTTAACCTGGCGCCGAAAAGATAACACCTTACACTTGACCTGGTAGCTTATGGGTAGCCAGTCAAGAAGCTGCTGTTGTTCAGCAAAGATGGTCATGCTTGAAGGAGCCACCACAGATACAATACTATATCATCATCTTCATCATCTTGCATTTCTATACCACCCATAGCCAAAGCTCTCTGGGTGGTTCATAACATTTAAGTCACCCATCCTGTTTTCAACCAGGCCCAGCCCTACTTAGTTTCCAAGATTAGGCAGAATCAGGCACTTCAGGCTAAACATGGAGCTGCCTTTGCAAAAAGTCCATAAACTTCAGTTAGTGCAGAAGCAGAACATGGTGTTAACTGGGACTATGTGATATGCACAGGTTACTTCATCACTTGCATTGGATCCCAGTCCATTTCCATTCTCAGTGCAAAAAGCTAGCTTGGACCTCTGAAGTCTTTCACACAACTTTGGCCCCAGTACCTGAAAAACTGCATCTTCCCGAATATCCCAGTCCAGGCCTTTGAAGTCATCAGCAGCAGGTACACCTTCAGGTATCCCCACAATAGCAGATGGTTACAAAGGAGAGGGCCTTTTCAGTGGTTCTCACCCCAGGTTGTGGGACGGTCTTCCCAGCAAGGTCTGCCTAGCCTTACTTTTTATGCCTTTTTTGCACTAGGCAAATACCTTTTTGTTTTTGTTTTTTTCAGGCTTTTAAAAAAATTAAAATACTTTATTTCAACTTCTTAATCTCTGAATTACACTCTGCTTTTAGCTCTGTGAACGTAGCTGGTATTCTCTGTATTGATTCTAGTAGTGCTGAAATTATTTGAATCTCTCCTTTGATTCCTTCCTTCCTTCCATGATATTTGGGCTGCATTGTGTTGACCCCTTTAAACCAGATATGTGATTTTATTTTATTTTTAATTGTTTGTTGCCCAGAGAACCTTTGTTTTGGAATGACCAATAAATGTAATCGATCAATCGATATGTTGGTTTCCCTACCTTTGCTTCTTGAAGTCAGTAAGATGGGAGCCTGCTCCCACAATAAGTCCATTTGCTTTTATTTATGGACAGAGCAATCCTGTGGCCTCCAGGCAGAACCTTGACAGCCACAGGATTGCTCAGATGCCTAGTTGCAAGCTCAGAAAATCAACCAGCATTGTAGCTGAGGAAACACATGCCCTCACAGCCTGTGAAGAATGAACCACACTGGCTGTGTCTCCAAGGACCAACTTTGGAGAAGTGGTTTTGTGGGTATGGAAGGGAGGAAACCGACCTCACCAAAATAAGAGGTAGTCTGGTGGCATCTCAGCCTCTTTCCACTCCAGAGCACTTCCCTTAGATGACTCCACTATGTTTTGGGGGTGACCTACAGTAAAAGAGAACTGCTACATGAAGGGTAATATCATAACCCTTGAAACAGAGAATCAACTGCAGAGGATCACAAAAGAACATAAAATTAATTCATTTCAACTATGTGATTCTGTTCTTCCTACATACCATGGAGCTTCTGAACTTGAAAACTTCTCCTCTCTTTTTGAGTCAGATTTTATGGTTGCAATCCAGCTAGAGTCTCTTGAGGAGATTGTGTTGAATCTTCAGCGGTCCACCCTCTAGGAGACGGACTAAGGAAGCATGTTATGTTGTCACAGTAAAATGATACAGCTTTTCTTCCTGGAAATTGATTTTTATGTACAACTCCGCTTGATTCATCCAAGCAGGAAAGCAATGACTGGGCCACCCCTTGGCTTCAGTTCACGCTGGGACTCTAGGACTGTTACATAAGAGTTGTTCTACATGCAAACAGCAATCGCTAGAAAAAAGGTCTGGCTAACAAGTTATCATCTTGGCACCAGGAGCTGAGGTTCCCCAGCGCTAACGCTTTCACTAAAACACTCTGCTCTATATGTGACTTAATATCCACCATTAAGCAGTTACTTTGAGTGCATATGCGCTGTCACAAATGCAAGCGTGGTTAACAAAGGAGCCCTGGTGAGACTGGTGGATGAAATGGAGTGCTCAGGGCACACAAAGATTAAATGGACTGAGAACGCCTTTGTGCGGTTCCTCGGGGGAGCCCATGTCTCACCTCATGAGGAGTGGCACCTGATGCCTTAACTGGAAGCTGATGAAGCTTTAACTTTAAAAAAAATCCTTTTTCAGGTATGATGTCCTTTGAAATGGCAGAAGAGGACTCTCAGTCTCCATTCTCTCACTGTGGGCTGACTATTCCTTCCTCTGGCATAGGTACAGGTGTGCACCACATACCTGAAGTATTGTGCAATATGGGTACTCCATGAACAGGCTTGCATGAGGTCCAAAGCATGCCACATTTTCTCCCTACAAACAATATGGAGAAGGTGAAAATTGGCCTGTTTACGGAAGGTGCAGTGATGCATTAATTTACACTGGACAGTGGTAGGAGGAGGGTTGTGTCCAAATAATTCAGCTCAGTCTCAAGCAGTCAGACTCAGTTTGATAGAAAATGAAAATGAAAATCTATTTTACAGGGCTTAATACATATACAATTAATTTGTTTGTTTTTATGAAGTAATTATTTTCTGCTTGCAACATACGAGTATGTATCTAAGCTGAGTTGATGAGCCTGCAAACATTCTTGTTCAGAATCAGCATTATATTATTCGATTAAAGGAAAAAAAGAATGTAATACATTGATTACTATCTATCTGCATAAAACTGGCTGTATACTGGGAGGTTAAAATTGGTATATATGGTATTTTGGGCTGAGAATGGAAGGAAAATACCTTAATCATTGGATTAAATACAACTAAGCCCTTGAGAAAACTATTCTTGACAATCTCGGATGCAAACTTTTCAAACAAAATACACCCCACCACCATATAGCTCATGATATAACTACCCTACACTGCCTGCCAGCGTTGCCAAAATATTCTTATGCAATGAATATAGAACAATGTCTATATTTCATGATTAATTTGATTGCTCATTTTAGGTTTACCAATACAAAAGACCAGTGGTGGGCAGAACAAACTTGAGCGAAGCTGTGTCCCCGAAAGAAAGCTCTTTGGGTGGAAGCCCTATCCACAATGCATTCAAAACCCAAGTAGAACTAAGAAGCCAGGATGTTGGATGTCACAATATATTAGAATGTGGAAATATTCAAACCAGTTCCAGCTCTTATGCAGAAGTGTCTGATGTGGAGCCAGGTGGCAGGCGAGGGCTGCACCACCGGTTTTATCCAAATCCATCTGTGCCTGCTCTCTGTCCCTCCATCACAGATAACTCCAAGCAGGATAGCGAGTTTGCTACAGACCCGGCCAACATTGTTCCTCGGAATGGCAAGCAAAATTCCATGAATGTATCCATTGCTAGGAATTCTTTTCCACTGAGTTCCTACCAAAGCTCCCTAGGACTTCATTCACCATGTACTGGTGAAAAGAAGAAGAAATATCAATACCTTCCTGAAAACTCTGTTGGATCCCACTACCAATATCCGTATCAGCGTACTGTTTCAGAACCCCTGTCTGTTGCCAGACATGGCAAGCGCCAGAACCTCCTAAGGCACCAAAGCATTTCACGTATTCACCATGATGGCATTCAACGGCCATTAAAAGGAGAAGTTTTGTGTCAGAACCCCAGACAGAAATATACAGAGAAGATCCCTGGCAGCTATGCTTCTGGCAACTCAGGGTAAGGATGCGGTTTTAATCTGATGTCATTAAAAAGTGAAGAGAATCAGCAAAACCAAATGGTATCTTGGCACCTGCTCATTTTCTCTCAATTTGTACTTGAAAACGTAAGAAATGGCTTAGCTAGTCCACATTTCATGACATAGCATATCCCTAACAGGATCCTGGCAGATGCTGGATTTTTTGCAACCATCTCATGTTTTGCTGTAGAGACCGGTTTCATAATACCTCCCACGGTCAAAGTGTTGTTGTTGTTTTTATCTAAAGCCATTTTACAGTATAATTCCAAGCACATTTACTGAAAAGTAAATCCCACTGAGGTCAGTGGGACTTACCTGGTAGGAGACATGCTTTTGAATTGTATCCCAATGCTCATCTCCACCTATTTGGCTCATCCCCCAACTAATAGAATCACATTTTAGCAGTACGCTGCCTCTGCACTTAGCTAATAGCTGTTGATAGACCTCTTCCATCAATTTGTCTAATCCTTTTTTATGGAAGCCATCAAAGCCGCAGAATGCTACAATGTCCATTATGTTATTTTACTAGCCAAAAGATACAGCAACGGCCTCTTATTTGCTGTCTTCAAAAAATTAAAAAGGAAAAGTAGGGGACTTGTTTGTTTCTTTTTATCCTACACTTTCTTTCCCAGAAACAGGGCCTAAATAGTGGGTAAGGTCAAATCAATTTTTTGAAATAGCATTTTGTTTTTAAAGGGCTAAAAAGCTAAGGCAGGGGAAAAAGAGTAAAACCCAAGTTGGAAGTGTTCTTTCTTAAATATTTACTCTGCCTTCCAGAAAAACACATGCAAAATAAAACAATAAAAACCACATTAAAATGCTACAGATGTAATCAGTGAATAAAACAGGACAGACCACTAATTAAAAGAATGCGAGTGTGCAGTTCTGTGTTTGTTCAGACAGAAAGAAAGCCTTACCACTCCTTTCGTTCTTCCGGCTAGCATGGCTGCTGGGGAAGGCTGGGAACGGTGTTGCTTTTCAGTGCAAGCAAGCACAGGATTATACCCTAAGTCTATCAACAGCCATTATTATCAATGACAATTAACCCTGACATTATGTATTTATTATATTTCTACCCCACTCAATAGCCAGAATGACTCTCTGGACAGCTACAGAGACAGTATAACTCTGGGTAACAGCTGAAAGGGTAGCTGGCAGGAGAGCTGTTGTCTTCATGCCCTGTAGCATATCTCTGAATGCTGTGATTCTGTTATTAGCAAATGGACCCTGTTTCGCATGACTTGGAATATGCCTTAGATTGATACAGCGAAGCCTGAGCTTTCACACTGTGCCCGCCCCATCTGCATGAAACCGTGCACGTGGACACCTCTAGGGATGTTCCCTGCCATGGTGTTCCCTGAGTGGAGGAGATACAGTGGAAGCTATAACCCTTAGCCCCCTAAGCTCTGCTGACTTCAAAAGCACAACCACAATTAAATTGATTAAAATAAGTGAATGTGTTCGAAAACCCCAAAAGCTGTGGGGTGCACACCCCTAGAGTCTTTTTAGAATGCACGCCAAGTTTCAAGAGTCTAGGTTTCACAGTTCTGCCACTATGGTGTGACAGAGAGACAGGAAGGCATCTTCTTTTATCATGTAGGTAAGATGGTTATTATACATAATAAATGCAATTCCATGTCCCTGTCCCTTCATATTTCTTAGACCTTTAGAATTAGTCACTAGGACATTAATAAATTGAAAAATAAAAGTTTGAAGAGACATTACAATTATCCACAGATTGGCAGTCAGTCACCATTTTGAAATGCACATTTAAGAATATTCTCACACTTGGCAAAATAATTTTGGCAGATATGGCATATCACTTTTGACCAGGAAACACTTTCAAATGCTTCTATTTTGTCCATGTTTAGAGGTTTTTCTCCATATGTCTCCTAAACTGATATGTATGTTCTGGTCTATTTTGTTCATTTATTTTTAAATTTATAGGCCACTGAATAACTCAACAGGGCTCTCTAAGCAGCATACAGCAAAACATTACAATTCCTAGTAATTATAAAAAAATGCTGGTAGTGCGATCTTAAAACAACCCATTGTTAAAATCAGATTTCAAAATGCCTGTGAAAAAGGACAGTCTTCTCCTGGTACCAAAATGAAAGTAGTGGCAGCACCTGGTGGACTCCTTTAGGAAGCCCATTCCAAAGGTCCAGGGTAGCCACCGAGAAGGGCCTTCTTCATTTTGCCATCTCTCTCACTTCCTTTAGGGATGGCTCTTTCAGAAGGACCTGGGGTCTTTTCAGAAGACTTGGAAAGTCTACCATTGGTAGCTGGAGAATCAGCAACACAAAAACTGTTAAATTAATTTAAATTAAATAATGTCTTTTCAAAACAACAAAATGCCAAGGGGCATACTCCCAGGGTCCCATTAATAGGCACACAGAATTTCTGATGGTTTCCTTTTATAGTTTCATCACTACTGCATTAGATGGACAGAAGACATCTTCTTTTTATAGACTGAGAACTAGCTTTAGTGCTTTAGATGGTGCTTTAAAAAGATGTGAGCTGGTTGAGGTTAGTAACTCCTGGGCTGCTCCTTTGACCTGCTACGTGGTCTAAAAATGACTTCTTTTTTCCTTTTTTTGCCATCTTCTCTTGGCTTGCTCATTTGCTGTTGTTTCTTGAGGCCTTCCCAGCCACCTGCTCACGACCTGATCCGAGCCCTTTCTCCAACCACACGGCTCATCCAGGCTGCAGAGAGGCAGCACCGAGAAATCTGTCAACTGGCAGATGATCACCTTGGTGGAATCCAGTTCACTAGCATGTTTCCGCCCATAATACAGAGGGGGGAGAGCGACCCACAGCTCAACAAGGAGAGCCACAAAGAGAGCCAACCCCTTATGAACCGCAGCAATTCTGAAGGCTACTTGCTTCAGATGGAAAAGCAAAAGGAGAGGAAGGAAAAAGAGAACAGAAAGGTGAGCTGGGAGACCATCAAGCAGAGCAGGGGCAGGCGGAAAGTGGATTGTTGGCCAATCACTGTTCAAAATAATGTTTTTGCTTTAGAAAAAATCCTGCTGCCCAACTAGTTAGGCGCTCCAATGGAAACAGAATTGATCTAAGATTAATCAATACATTATTGCATCCTAGTGTCACAAAAATAGTAAGTTTGGAAAGCAGTATGAGAATGAATGAATGAGATGTGCAAATACTGGTAGGTGGGGGAAATGTATTTAATTGGTTGTAAGTGCACTGGTTAATCCATTTTGCATCACCCTGTGGAGTCTGGAAGAATGCAGGGAGCACTGCCTTCCCTTTAAGTTGCAGCATTCATACAATGATTGCAGGCACAGTCATTTTTAGAAATCAGCAGAAAGCCAGGCAGCAGTCTGAGTGACCCATTATCCTTGCCAATCCCACTTTGCTCATCAGCTCAACCCACCAATGCCTCCTTCCATTTTTTAACAAAATCAGTCATTGATTGATGCACAGTTTCTTGATGCACAAGGCCCAAATATTCTGGCTGTTCTGCCTCCAAACCAGACTGTATCCACTTCCTCACAGCTTTCTTCCTGGGTTCTTTTTAGATCTCGCCCCTCTTCTATACAGTAACTGTTTTATGCTGGAGTGCCAGAATGGCTGGAAAGTGGCTTCATGTACCCATGACCAATCGGAATCTTTAAGAAGCTAGCTTTTGGCCTCAGAGCAGACGGACTAAGCCGGGATAATTTTTGCTATGCACTGACTCAGGGGCTCTTTGTGGATTGCTGCTTGACTGCCCCTGAGAAGAAGTTAGGTAGATTAGAATTTTAACTGCGGGCCAAATGTCCTTACCATTCTCTTTCTCCTCCCTGCTCCTCCATAGTCAGACTGTTTCCTTTGTTCCTCGTTTATTTATTTATTTATTTGCCTCACAAACCTCCCACTGCTACCGTAAGCTTTCTCAGAGGTACTGCAGGCAACACACAGGCATCAACTTAATATTGACAGCAAACAGTTTCACCTTTCCAAAGACTGGGGCCATAGATTTTCACTTTTGTTTTTGTTTTTTTTTAACTGAGATATTGGCTTGCAAATCTGCCTGTCCCATATCTCTTTTTATATGGAATTCCACAGGGTTTGTCAGCCCTACTCTTGTATTGGTCTGTGGTAGACAGATATTCACAATTCTGTAGTAAAAGTCTTAAGTGAGTGCCCAAAAGCTCAAGAGCACAGTCCTCTGAGTTTATCTTTGGGTCTGAGGAGTAGATCCTTTACCTGCCTGGCAGACCTTAGTTTACCTTTTGATCCAGCCCACATATAACAGGAAGCCATCATTTTCTGCTACAGAAACAAGCCACACAAACTTTGGTCTTACATGCTCTTCCAAATACGGAATCATTCCCGGGGAAGCCCCATAGTAAACAAATGTAGGAGGGTACTATTATATTCATGTCTAGTTGCGAGCTTCTTATAAGCATCGAGTTGGTATCAAGGCTGGACCTGCCAGGTCCTTGGTCTGGTCCAGCACTGATTTTCTCATGTTCTTATGAAGAAAATCTCTGCATTTAGGGTTCTAGGACAAAAGGCTACATGAAGATGGATGTGAAGCTTGGAGGCCTTGGACCTGACTATGAAATGATCAAAGAGAAAGTAAGCAGAGCTTATGGAATTTTCAGTGATCTTCTTGATGTGTTGTCACTTCTCCACATTTATAACCAGAATTTTTAAATGGAGCAATGGAGGTATGGATACATGGGTAAAAGTTCAGACTGGAATCCAGAGCAGAAACATCTCCACACCGACATTAAAGCCATCAGTTCCCGCTGCATTGCAGTTCAACAGAACCTCCCAGTTGTGATGCTGGAAACAAACAGCATGAGAGGCCCATTATTTTCAGGCCATGACTTTTATTAATATGACAGGCACCCTTGAGGCTCAGGCCATGAAGTTCAGCACGCCTGAAGAAATTAATGCGCAGATGAAGAGTAAGGTTAAAATGGGCCCAAATCAGTTAAGCATTTCCACCCGTTACAAAACAAGCCAATAACTATACTGGAGAAACTCATGATTCCAGGTTTCATGGATGGCATACCCGTTGGCTAATCCATTATTTTGACCTAGTTGATGACCATACTCAAGGCTGGAAAGAATGTTCCACCTGATCATTCATCTCTCCTTCTACAGTTAAATGTTTGCTTCTGCTCACTCATTTGTAGATCCCGTCCCTCGGTTCTAAGCTACTGCAGGGCAGATTATTAAACAAACATTAAACGCATGCACATAAAAGCAGTAGAAAATCCTGCTTTAAAACATCACCAAAACCAGGAAAACTGGCCAAAAAGGGAAGTATTGAAACCAATTAACAAGCATCACAAAAGACTAGGTAAGCAAATAAAAGTAATCATATGAAATTAAGCAAGTCTCCCTAAAGAGAGCATTCCATAGACTGGGTGCCACTCTCAGATAAAGACCTTTGCTCAGTTTTCTGGTCTCAGAGGGAGGAGACACCCAGAGAAGAACCCTGAGGAGTTTGATGGGAATCAGACCAGAAGGACTTCTGTTTCCTTCCAACTCCAGCCAGGGACAGTGCTGGGTACCAGAAAGATCCCAAAGGACAAAAGAAAGATCCCAAAGGACAGTGCTGGGTACCAGAAAGATCCCAAAGGACAAAAGAAAGATCCCAAAGGACAGTGCTGGGTACATATGCTCGAAAGTCTCTCTTTGTGTGTGTCTTTGGGCATCTTTAAAGGAAACTGCCTCCCAAGGATACTCCTATTTGTAATCAGGGGTGCATGGGCAAGGAGAGGAGGGAACTGATTTTGGGGGGGGGCGGGGGAACTAGCCAGGACAATATGAAGGGGGCAGTAGGAGATGAAGCACATATGGGCAAAATGCCTGCTAATCTAAGGGGAGTGGTTGTATTATGGCCCCATCCCTTTATTTTTACAAGTGCCCAAGAACAGCAAGATGGCGGACTCCAATGGGCTGCAATGGAAGAGGTGGGGCTCCAGCCCTAGCAAGCTGCTTCTTAACACAACCTCAGCTGTGGCTCTGTTCATCGTGAAAAAAATAAACATATCTGTGTCCAGAAAACTCAGAGCAGATCATGTTTTCAAGCTGTAGTTTTCTTTGCCCCTCACCAAAGGTATCCATTAGTCATTACTCACCTGCAGAGAATTCCAATTGCAGATAAGTACACCCAAGTTTATTCTCTTCCGGCTGGATCAAGTGTGCATTACTTTAATGCAATTGAGCTGCCGCTGCGAATTCAGATGGCCTGGCTTTATCGCAGAAGGGAAAAATGAAAGTAAACATGGCAGAGCAAATGCAGCCGTGGAGTAGCTGAATGCACATTATGCCCTGTGAAGAAACATCAGGTGTTTCTGGACCAAAGGAGGAGATGAGGCCAATCATCCAAGAAAGACTCTGAAAGAAACCTCTCTCCGCACTACCACTTTTTCTTTTAACTGCGGATGAGTTTACAAGATGCTTTGAATGAAATATGGTAGAATACAATCCAGGTGGCTTTTCCACTCCTCACACAAGACAACAGCAGTATAACATTTACAGTCCAGCAAGACAAGAGGGAGTTGCAATACTAAATAAACCAGCAGTCAGTGCTCTAAAGCAGCTTGTTAAAAACTGCTTTGATTTCTTTGGCCTTGTGTTTGAAAAGAGGCAGATGGGGTGGGCCAGATCAAAGTATCGCCATGAAACTGCTTCCCCAAAGTCAGAGATTCTCCACCATCATATGTCAAATATAACATGCCATTCAGACATGGCTGCAATGAAATGGGTGTATGTTTCAGATTTTAAAAAAAGGTCAGCCATCCAGATTAGGAATAAGACCAAGATTTTATTGGTGCAAATACAGAGCTGGTTTGGGGATTCTACCTCTTTTTGTTCTTTCTTGAGGGATCTTCTTTTGGGTGGGGAAGGGGGATCCCATTTCTGTACACGTGCAGCAAAAATCAGCTATCGGCAGTGCCGAGTGGCTAGTAACCATGATGGTCCCCAAACACCACCCTCCTCGGGTCCTAGCACAGCCAGACAGCTCATGTTAACAGACTTCTGTTTGTAAAATGGAAGCACAGCATTGCCTAAAAAAAAAAAAGTTAAAGGTCAACGGCCCACCTGGAGCTTAAGGGGAGGCACAGGACTGCTGGCTGAGCCAGGGTTCACCTCCATGGAATGTACATCTGGGAAGCCAAAAGTGCCCTTGGTCCTCCCTGTAGGTAAAAAATCTTCTGTGAGATCCCTTTAATTTTTTTGAATCAAAGTAAACTGGGTGGAACCATGGGCGTTTTCCTGGAGAAGCTCAGGTGGCATAATTCCATTTTATTCTTGGAGCAACCTTGTGAAGCAGCCCAGCCCATGTGATCATGACTTGCTGAATGCTGCTGGGTTCTGTCCTACTGAGCATGGATTTTTCAACCCTGGCCTCCACCCATTCCACCACTCTTCATATCCATAGTCCGCCATCATATCATTGTCTGCATCATGTGCAGACCTGTTGAATAACCTTTGGAACACTGCTCTTTTTCTTGACAGTCTGAAAAGATAAAGCAGCAAAAAAAGTATGCCAAGCATGTTCAGGAGCACAACATGAAGAACATCACAAGTACACGGAAACCACAACCAAGATCTGAAATCAAATCGGCAGCTTCAAGGCAGAAGGTAGAGCTAGGGCAAGCAGAGAGTCATGAAACGGGAGAGACCTTTCCCCCAGTGATTGGGGCTGACAACTTGAGAAAGTGCAATGGTTTTTTGGGTGTATGATGTGCAATCTGGGCTTCCATCACTTGGATAAGAGTTTGAGGACTCTGCAGTCCAAACCTATCCCATCTTTCTCTAGCATTTTCACAGCTGTTTATTAGTTTGCTCCTCCTACCCCATATTGCTTTAAATTTTCTTAGTCTTGCACAAACTGAGCATGGACATCCTTGCAGTATGTGGAAACTCAGAAAGACAAGGATTAAATTAGCTCCTGCTACACTCCTGCTTGGAGAAAATGCTTATACTGACCACCTGAAAGTCACTTCATAAGAAGGATGGATGAGAGGAACTGCTTTTTGCAGAGCAACAATTCGTTCTCCTTCATGCACCGCTCTCAAGCAAGGGTTTGGGGACTGGGGAGAAAATAGTAAAATGCCCCTCACTGGAGGCAAGATGAAGCCCACATGTGTATTCTGGAAGTTAGCCCTTCGTGAATGGTCTCTTTTCCCCTACAACTTCTCTCTAAAGCAACCTTAGGAAAGCAGGATGTTCAGGAAAGAAGTGGTAGGTAGGAGAAGAGGGGAATGACCTTGAAACTTTATCCTTGCAACTTCCCCCCACTTGAGGTCCTTGTCACCTTTTTTTCCCCTCACAGCCTTTCCAACCCAAGGGAGGGGACATATTGCCTGCGAGGATGGAAGGCCATCAGGGGAAGAGTTAAGCACCCCTCATCTTGCTGCTGCTTCTCCCCCGAAAAGAATCCTCTCCCTGTGTTGCTTTATGGAGGAAAAGCAGCAGCCGAGATTTCAAAGGCAAGAAGGCAGAGGCAGAACACCTAATAGCCACTTTCACGAGTAGTAAATTGCTCCGTATCATTTTGTCGATTGGATACTGCAGGAGAAACCTGTGTGTTTCCACCGCGATCTTTTGTTTTGCTTCCTTTGTTTTAGGCCCTACAATATGCCAAGACAATTCCCAAGCCAAAACTTTTTGTATCAAGGCCATTGGAACAAGAGCCTGAAGATGAGAAACATCCGGCGCATACTTTAAATGGAGCGACCCTCCCTCCCATCTCATCTCTGGAATCACTGCAGAACAGGCATGAGAAGGAGAAGCAAGCAGTGGCTGCATTCAAGACCCTGCATATCGTATGAGGAACCAGCATCTCAGGGGAGGTTGGCCTCCCCAGCAGCAGATCACGGAACTCTTTCGCTCTGCCCGTCGTCTTGTTTTGGCAGTTGCCAAGAGTGCTGAATGAGAGGTGTCTTAATTATGACCTTCATGAACATTCAGCATGTGAGATGTTTGCCATACTGTTCACTCAGCCTCACTTATTTTTCCCAGATTCTATTGTTGATGATTAAAGAGTTGAATATGTAACATTGTAGAACTGTCTTACCCCACTATTTCCCTGCTTTTTCCATGTCCTTCCCTCCAAAATGCTTTCTTAGGCCATGCCAGATCTTATTTTACAGGGACTACAAATGAGGTTGTAAAACAGCTAAGTATGCTTCATTTCAGACTGTAGATGGGGGAACACACAGCTGACCGAAAGAGCCATAGCCAAGGAAGAATGTTTATTATCCCAACTGCTATTTGTGTGAACACGGCCATAAAATGTGCTCCTTTTTATCCCCCTTATAATGAGCTGTGACATGTTGAACACCATTTTGGATATGTGGTCCCAAATTGGAGTACTTGACAGTTAGAAACATAGAAACAGAGCGAGTCAGAAGGAGCTTCCTGGGCCATCTAGTCTGACCTCCGGCACCAGTTGTGCAATGTCACGTGAACCCAACAATCATGAGTTAGTTGAGGGCACAGGACTTGTGTGAAGTGAGAGAGCCTCAGCAGGAAACAGCCAGACTCAGAAACCTTTGGTAGACCCGTGTTCTGAAAGTAGGCTTTTTCTATCCGTACCCTTCCCACCACATGGGCACTGATCCAGCATGGTGCAATCCATGTTGCATTGCTGTGTGTGTGGATAGCACGAACCGCTTCCCTAGGAAGGGGAGGCACAATCAGCCATACCAACATCGTAGCACATTTGCACACACACTGCTGAAGCAGAGCATGGCACCACATTGAAGTGTGACGCCTGCATCCCTGCCTGTCTCTTCCAGGATTTGTTTTGGTTTATGCCCTGACTCTCAATTACCCACTTATGTTAGCATCTCTCCCAGATGCAGCCCGTAAAGCTGCAACATACAGGCATTGCCATATCGCTTCCATTAAAAGCTGCTCTCTGCTGAAAATAATAACCACACAGAAATGGGAACACTTTGAAGCATTTCTGATTAGGGTCCTAAACTTGTTGTTTCTCTGATTAAAAGTGATAATCCCCCTACTACAACGCTTGAGAACCTATTTTTAATGAAACCTTTAGAGGGATATCAAAGAACTATTTATGTGCATCTAATATTTTAATTAGATTAAATTCTCAATTTAACCCATTACATGCACACACACCCCTTTGATGAGCTGTATGCTCTGTGTTTTGCCCCAGATGCTAGAAGTAATGAATGCTGAACCTTTTGGTTTAATGAGCATTTCTGCCTTTCCATTGTGACTCTCTTTGTATCTCTTTTTTATTGTTGATATTATTATTATTATTTCCTGAGCTATAGAATTTAGTTAATTGAAGGAGTCTCTTACCACCACACATTAAGGGCTCTAAATTAGCATCCCCTTTCTGATTAGAAAATGCAAGCGGACATTTTTGCTTTGATCCAAGGATTTAGTTGAAGTAGGCCATGGTCCCCTGAAAATGAGCTGATGGCCTTGTTATTAGGATGAAATGCAAATGCATTCCATGTGTTGGGAAATGCTTAATGTCTTAATTGATCACCTTCTGGACCATACACCCCTTCCTTGTTTCCTGTGCATCACCTGGAAATCAGGGCAGCTTTGAACAAGATAGAAGCAGCCTCACATGTTAAGGTGCATTAACATTGTATTCACGCATCCTTCCCTGCTCCCTGGTAATTTTATTTATTTATTTATGTATTTATATCCTGCCTTTTTCCTACAAAGGGCTCAAGGCAGCTTACATCAATCTCTTCCTCCATCTTATCCCCCCAACAACCCTGTGAGGTAGGTTGGGCTGAGAGTCTGTGACTGGCCCAAAGTCACCCAGTGGGCTCCATGGCTGAGCGGGGACTAGAACCCAGGTCGTCTGAGTCCCAGTCCCACGCTCTTAACCACCACACCACACTGGCTTTCTTTTAAGCAGCACTGTGCCTTTTTTAAAGTGGTGACTTTGACGATAAAGGAAGGGTTTTTTTTAACATTGTCATGTACAAGATCATTTCTAATCTATTAGGATGTATTTCCCAGAATAGCTTAAGAAAAGGAAATAATGGCCAGGGTGATGTCTACATCCTCTCCATGGCTAAAAATAATTGAAGGATCAAAGAAAAGGGTTGCATTCTCTTCTTAATTTTTGTAGTTATCTTCATCAACAAGAGCTATGAAGATGCAGAGAGGGCTTGCAATATTTACCGTAATCCATTACTTTCTTGTACAGGGTTGCTTCAAAACGTCATGAGTCCATGAGAAGCAACCCTGCTCCAGCTTGAGGGAGATGCACAGGGCAAGCCTAAGCATATCTCCCCAGCGGAAAGTCCCATGGAGTTCACTGGGGCTTACCCATTTAATGGTAAAATTATGCAAGCTGATAGGGTGACTAGAGAATGATCAGGGCAGGGCAAGAAATGCATACCAAGAGGAAGGTGTTAATGTGAATACGACAACAAAGTGGAGAGGTGTACAGTTCTTTTTTTACCTAAGTTGCAAGGCTCTTAGAGGGCTTAGATTTTTTTTTTAAACTGGGTTATAAATGAACAAAGCCTTCCTCAACCTGATGTGCCCCAGATGTGTTGAACTCCACCTCCCATCACACCCAACCAGCATGCTTGCTGCAGCTGCTGTGAGAGTTGCCCTCTGAGACATCTGGAGGGCGCTGAGACAGTGAAGGAGGGTTAGACTGTGGGTCAGGAGTTGGGCACCCAATAGGCCTGTTTTTGACCTCGCTTCCACTCGTACCATGTTACGATTGCATTTACGCCCTCCACAAAATCACCGTTTCCTTCCCTAGCCTATCACTGGAGGCAGGGGGAGAGAGGGGGGGACTGTAGACATGCAAGTTAGCTTGTTTTTCAGGAAAACAGGTTCACTTGCTCTTTAACACTTCCAGACTGTTAGGTTTTCCTTGTGGAGTGCCCAGGCACACAGGGGCCCTTCTTGTTAGCCAAAATGCACCATCTGTGACTCGTCCAAAGCTATCCAGTCAGCTTCATGGCAGAGTGACAGCTAGAAGCTAGGCCTCCTGCCTCGATTATTTGAGAAGTCCAACACTCCATCTGCATCAAAATCATACATTTCAAACAAGATTCATGTGAAGCCGCATCTTACCATCTGAAGATGGGCAGGTGAACCAGCTCTATGTGTAAACAACAGTGCTTCCCAGGTTTTCTGCATTTTGGGAATACCTTCACTACTTCTGCTCAGGAATGACAAATCCGTTGTCACAAACAGCAATGATTTGAAGGCTTAAATGAGGGATTGTGGAGGGTCATGATGTCAACAGTTCTAGCAAATCTTCAGAGCACAAGGTCAGGTTCTGCTGCAAACAGGCAGAATTGCTTCCCCCTGAGCCTGTTGCCAGAGAGAAAAGCAAACATCTGAACACAACACAGTGGGTTTAGTTCTCCAGTGGTTCCATTGCTCCAGTGGTGCCCATTTGTATGCAACCAAGAGTCTAATGCAGAAGACACTGTTCTGCAATGCGCAGCTGGCCTTACAAGAAAGGCTGCACCATTGTTGATAATTTCTTTGAGTGACTCACAATAAGCTTCCAAGGAACCTCAAGTTTGGAGGATAAGATGAATAGGAGGAGACCCTTGTACATTGTCTCAGGTTCCTTACCAGAGGAGGAAAGGCAAGAGATCAATGCCATATAGAAGTGTTGGAGATGATGGTGATGGAGATGATATTCCTGGACCGTTTTATAGAAAGTTGTAAAACAAAATGTAAAGTCTTAATGCCTATAATCCCTCATTACTGGCCATGCAGTCTTGGATTTAAGAGAGTTATAGTCCCAAACATCTGAAGAATAGGTTCCTTACCTGCCCTCTTGCTCTCAACTGAGAGTAAGTTCCATTGAATTTAGTGGAGCTTATTTTTAAGTAGACATGTATAAGGTTCCCAGCAAATTGGTTAATCATATGAATCTTAGGTGGCCAGCTGATTAACTTATAGATTAAATTTGCATATGCATAAGTAAAAACAATGGCTCCAAACCAAGGGATGTGTTTCTTTTGCTTTGGGGTTATTATTGTTGTGTCATAGAAGGCATTCTCTTTGAAGAGGCGCTCTCACCTGTTTGAAACAAATAGCAGGAAATGCCTTTTCTAAGCCAGTATTTTCCACCCTCACTTTTATTTTTCTATTGTCATCTATTCTTTTAGAGAACATGTTTCAGATCTGCTGGCCAGTCAACTGGAATACCTCTTTAGCTAATTTAATCAGTCCAGCTAAGAAAATAATTAGTTAAACATTGTAGTCTATTAATCAAGTTATTGTTAGTGAAAAAGGAAGGAAGATTTAAGGCATGATGCTGTGTGCTCAGACAGGAGAAAGTCCTACATACATGCTGGAAAAGTAGAACTTTTTTCTTTCTGAACAATGTTGACTTTGGAATGTTGGCAGTTGTAGGATTTATTTCGGAGTCCTCCCTGAGGATTGGCTTTGTCACAAGACCATCTTATAGCTGTCAAAGTAACCAAGATGCTTCCACTGCTGATATCAAGATTATTGCTGTCTTTGGAGTTGCCTAAGTGTAGTTAAAAGAACCAGACTGAATCATCAAGCTTACTTTCCAGGGATGGCCAACAGCAGGGACAGGTTTGCAACCTAAGAAACATCACTCCACTGTTTATTTATGTACATATTTATAATAATAGGGAGGAGGAGGAGGAAATCTCCCACCTGAAAATTAAATACATAGCTTAATCCTATACCTGCATGGGCAGATGTGACACCCCATGGCCTTATTTCAGACCCAAAAGAGTGTGCACTTGCATCAGATTTCTGCCTTGAAGCAGGAGTTCTAAACTGGCCTTTCTATCTTGCTATAATGTTACCTAGCCTAACTTTTAGTGTGAGAGAGAACCACAGGACCAGCCAATGCCATGCCCACCCCCCAGCCCACAAGTCAAGGAGCAAGATATCCAAGGCTGGCCAAGATATTTTGACACTTGAGGCAGAAAATCCCACAAGTACCTCTGGTATTAAAAATGCAATAATTTTCAATGAAAAACCACAGTGAAGACATTTCCATTCATTGTCCCTTCTAACTTTAGAATGGAGGGAGAACACAAGCAGCCATGTACATATAAAAATATCCGTTTCAATCTTATGCACATGTCCTTTGGGAGTAAGTTTCAGCCAACTCAGGAGTATTTCCTTCAGAATAAGTATGCACTGGATGGCGTTTGATACTGCAGGAAAAATGGAGAAGACCAAGCAACCAGTCTGTGCCATTTTAAAACATTATTATAGCCCCATTAAAATATTCTGAACTCACTAAACATAATTTAAAAACTTCACAGAGTGCTTCAGCTATTGGAGGGGATAGAAAAACTAAATAAATAAAAATAAAAATAATGGAAACTGGAGAAAGAACTGCATAGATGGTAATAATCTATCCTTCACATCCATAAATAGTGAGCGGATCACTATTGAAAGATCCAGATACCAAAAGTCCCAAAGAAAGCAAGTTGATGGTCAGAAAAAGAGGCTGCCATTCCTTTCTGCAGCAATTCGCAGGCTGATGCTACCCAGCTCCCAGTGCAATGCCCCACAATTTTTATCTGTTCCGTGGGAGACTTAGGCAATAGTATAGAAGCTACTTTGGAAGAATGATGATATCACCTGTTTTTTCTCCCTTTTGAAACCCTCCCATCACTACAGTCTTTTCAAGGTTCATTTGGGTTATGCCAAAGTAAACTCAGTGGAATATAATACCAGAAAATGAACTGAAAATGCAGACACAGTCTGAAAATGATGGCAGAAATGCTGGAAAGCAGAGTTCTCATGGTTATACATGTCCAATCTGGCCAATTCCAAGTTGATCAATGGTGAAGAAATTGCAAAATGTGTGTGATCTGCTCTATTTGTAACCAGCCTGCTAAACAGCGACTTCGATGCTGTTCAACTGTCCAGTTGGGGTGGAGGAGTTATAATAGGGGCAGGAAAATAGTGATACCATGTTCTCAATGCATGTGAGAGGTTAAGCAGGCTATTTTTTAAAAAATAATAATGAGACAGGACTGGACAGGACGGGAGATGATTCAGGTGGGAGACACACGAGCCCTTAGAAAAGAAAAGCAATCCTGTGCCACACTGAAAACAAAGTCTGCAATGCTATGCAGACTTGCTGGAGGGCACATTCCATTGGATACGATAGGACGTGCTTCCCATAAATGGCAGTCATAAGATTGTACACTTTGGCACACACTTAGCTGAGAAGCAAGTCCCATTAAATCCAGAGATCTGTCAGTGAAACAAGGGAGGGATTGTGCATTGAAGACACTGGCTGGCTAAGCTTTTCTGGAAGCTTGTCCCCAGTGTATTTGAGGGACTTACTCCTGGGTAAGGGTAAGCAGGATGGCAGTTTTACAGTGTGTTCCCCTGCACATTTGCACAGAAGCAAGGACCATTTAGTTCAATGGGGTTTGCTCTCAAGAAACAGCATGTGGATGACAGATTCTGCCATGAGTTCCCCTGCTAGTTTTGTTTCAAAGAACTAAGGGCTAGTCTTTCAGTTTTTGTAGTAGCTTCCTCCGTGTGAGAGCTCTAAACTCTCTTATTTTGTCTTCTTGGGGGATGCGGGCAAGAACTGGATGTAATTTATTATTTCAGATCACCAGTTCTCATGGACACTTTTGTATGGGTTCCCCACTAACACCTTTGAAGAATACAGCAAACCTTTCTTCTTACCTTCTTTCCAGACTGACTTTATTGACTCCTTGTTAATTTTTTCTCTTAAATTGTTAATATTTGTTACTAACAAGTGTTAGCGATATGCCAACAGAATTTGAAAAGAAAATACACAGAACTATCATTGTTGTAGAACAATCCTTTATGAGACCAAGTTGCTAGTTTGTCTAGAGAAAGAATGTTCAGAATGAGTCTTTATAGAGCTCCATGGAAAATAAAAAGCTTGGGCACAATCTCTCCACAGTTACACATTTTCCAAAGTACATTTCTCCCAGCAAGAGAGAATTCATGAGCTGAAAGTAACAGGGCTCCAAAGTACATGTAGCTTTGCCTGGATCGTGGCCCTTCATGATCGACCATCTTATTGACACCTCAACCTTATGCATGCTTACTTGGGGAATAAACCTCACCGAACTCAGTGAGATTTACTTGTGAGAAAACATGCACTGAATTTACTGCATGTGGAAAAATATAGAATGCTAGGGAAAATATAATGTGTGGAAATGACATGGTGTTTTCAGGCGCATTATTAAATGATCTTCCCATCAACAGTCAATCATATTTGGTTGAGAGCGCCTCTTGCATGATATTCTGAGAGCATTAAAAGAAACACGATTTAGGCTTCCACTTTTCATTTTAAACAGTATGGTTATGTCTGTGTTTGCCATACAGAATTGTAGGGGATGGAAGGGGGGAAATGGACAGTTTAAACCCACTAAGAAGACCAGATGCAAGTCATTTTCAAACTTACAATTCTCCTGCAGGGAAGAGGTGGTCTCAAATCCCCGCTTCGTATCCTTTGGATGGGCCCAATCTGCCATCCATCTAGAATCTCAGCCTCCTGCCCATTTTCCACCGCACTCACAAGCACCTTGGCCTTTTATTGGCAGCCACACACACTGCCCATGGTTTACCCTAAGATGGAGGTGAGTGGATGGGTAGCCATCCTCCGATCTGCCTGGGAGCTGGGCCAATTTAGACCATGAGGGCTTGGGGACATGGGGGTCAGCTCCGTCCAGCATCTGTCCTCCTGAGGTGGACCAGAGTCTTTTGTAGTGCACCCCCCTGCACTCCCTCCCCACCCATGATCCAACCCCAACCTGCCCTGGATGAGTTCTGAAGCTTCAGAGTCCTTCCTGGGCAGGGAAGCAGTCCCTCCCAAGCACCCTAGATGAGGTGCTGGGGCCCACACAACTCTGCCCCTTCAATGATGTCTACCTCATCTTCAGTCTCCTCTAATAGGAAAGCTGGTGGGTGGCCACCTTTACATGACTCGGTGGAGGTGGAAGCACCACCACTTGTTTTGTTGTCCGAGGGTACCAGCTCAGGCTCACTCCTCGCTTGCTCCGTACGGTCATCTGTGCCGGGGGCTTTGGGGTCATCCTGGCTCTTCCTCAGCTGCTTCTTGTGCTTCATCCGCCGGTTCTGGAACCATGTCTTCACCTGAAAGGACAAGCAAGGAGAAGTTGGGCTCTGGCACTCATTGGGAGGGAGGGATGCACTCTGGGATCGGAACTCCCATCCAAATTCCAGCCCCCCTCTGCTGCTTGGAGTGGCAGCAGAGAGTGAGGGAGGCAGAGAGGCAGGATGAGAAAACCCAGTTGGAAGGCACAATGCCCAAATAAATGGCAAAAAAGCACTCTAAAAGCAGGAATTGTACCTGGCTCAGATTAATTTCCTGGGGAGAGAAGAGCCCTCGTGGAGGAACTGAATTTACAAGCTGGCCGCCTCCCTGTGTGCCCATGGGTTGTCTAAGATTTGCCATGTAGGAGTCTGGTTTTCTTGGGCTCATCCCTGTGAGAAGCAGGGGAAGGATCCTCTCCTTCCACAGGGGTCTCTCATTCAGCACAGCCCCTTCTAAAGGGCACTCTGGAACTTTTCATCATCAAACCAGACAAAGAGCAAGGAGGTCTCTTGCCACTGCACTGTACAAATGGGGAGCTAAGACTGAGAGACCAGGGCTTACTCAGAGTTGTGCAATGTTAGCCTGTCTCTTCTTCAACTGCAGATGGACAGAAGGAGGTGGGTTAGGGAGGAGGTCTGGTGGCAATTCTTCAGTTGCAAGAGGAAATCCCTGCCCATGATCAGAAGCACCCTCACCTTTACCAAAGACTTCTGATTCCCCAAATCTGGGGGATCTTTGCTCAGACATCAGTGCAATGGGACTTCACTTTCAGGTAATTATGCATAAAAGCATACATTGCACTGGTAATGGAGGAAAAGCATAAGCCTGCAACTGTAATTTGCAAGCTTAATCCATGACAACTGCTTGGAAACAAATGCTGCCTGCTCCTCGCACCCCCCCCCTTTTTCTAGAGTCGTCTGCCTCCGCTGTCCCTCATATTTTAGAGTTGCAAATCTAAATAAGGTCCTTGCAAAGAAGGCTGGTGAGTGAGAGGAGTGGAGAATGAGAATTGAAGGAGCTCTCCGTGGTTCTGAACTGCGCTTGGCTGCCTTCTGGTTACTTGTGCGCCGGATACCAAACTTTGCTCGTCCTCCCTTATCTAACTTCCTGTCTCTGAAGTCATCAGAGGGCACTGCCTGGTCATCTCTTGTGGGTCTGTGGCCTTCCCGGAGCCCCTGCTCGAGAAGAGCCTTCAATGCAGTGTCTCTTGTGTTGTGGAAGTCCCTGCCTCCTGAGGTCAGGCTGGCTAAAACACTGCTCTGTCTGACCCCTGCTGAAAGACATCGTTGCTCTGGGAAGCCTTCCTTGCCGACCATCCATGGCTTTAGCGTGGCCCTGTGCATTGCTTGTATTCTTTTATCTGTTTTGTCGTTTTATAGCTCACCCCTCTGGAATCTGTCTAGGTAGGGAGAGGAATCCAAATGTTGCAACATCACATACATGCATTCTACTCATGTTCTATATACACGGATAATTTAATTTAATATTGTTACTTGATTGTGCAGTTCCGCAGACCTCCTTGACGTAATTCTATCACCTGGGTGTGAGCCAGCAAGGCAGCCTTGACATCTTCGAGGGTGGCCTTTCCCAACCTGGTGCCCCTCAAATGTGTGGGGCTTCCAACTCCCAGGATGCTGGGAATTGGAGCCTGATGCACCTGGAAAGCATCAGTTCAAGAACGGACCCTGTGCTCCCAAGAGGGACTGCCGTTTCCCTCTATCTTGCTTGCAAGGGAGCGGGTGAGGAGCCTCACAGTCCCGCTTCTTTCCTGCCCTTCACCCCTTGCCAGCTTTGCCGCTTACCTGGGTCTCAGAGAGACTGAGTGCTGTAGCCAGCTCGACGCGCTCCGGCGTGGAAAGGTAGCGCTGGATCTCGAAGCGCTTCTCCAGGCCCGAGAGCTGCGAGTCGGAGAAGACGGTGCGGGCCTTGCGTCGGCGGCAGTGCTTGCCCGGCAACTCGACGTGAGGGTGGGGCTGGAAGAGCGCGGGTACCGGCACCCCTGTGGCGTATGGGGGGAGAGACCAGCCCTGAGCAGAGCCATGGTGCGGGTCGTGGGGCACCAGAGGCCCCACCTGGCCACCCCCGCTCTGCAAAGAGACTGCGCCTCTGCAGGAGATGCACCAGCCCAGGCAGGGAATTCTGCAGCTCCTTCCCAGCAGGGGCCTCGAGAGCGCACGGAGCCCGGCAGAGCTGGACTGGGGGTTTGTTTCAGCCCTCCTGGCTCCTGGCCGAAGGGAGGTTTCTTCCCCCGCGCCTTCCCCGTCTGCGCGCGGCCTTCCTGAAGGTGGAAAACGAGTACAGAGGGGGGTCTCCCTGCCCTCCCAGCCCCCTCCAGGTTGGCGCCCTCCAGACAGGACCGACGCAACTCTATCCGGCATGCCCGATCCATGTCCAGAGTGGTTGAGCGTTGTCGGGCAACAGCCCTCGAGGGCCCCGGGGTTGCTGAAGGCGGCCGCTGCCTCCCAGCTGCAAGAGAAGCCCTTCTTCGCTTCGATCCCCTGGAAGCAGAACGCACGGGCCACGTGCTCCAGAAATATGGAGCTGCAACCCGGACGGTGCGACGGTAGTTTTGCACACGCATCCACCAACTTCGTCAACCTCCAAATCTCCTTTTGCGGGAAGAACCGTCTCCCACCTCCAAACTGAGTCCCTCTTTTGCTCCGGAGAGGACCAATTTCCTTCCTTCTTTGATGCCTGGACCCTCGTGAAGACCCGGCCTCTCCTGCCCCTTTCTCACAATTCCGCTCTCACCGGCAGGTGCAGAAAATCCTTCCCCGGCCACAGCCAGGATTAGTGCTATCTCTGCTTTTCTAACCGATGGCGCAATGGAATCCCCCACTGCGGGTGGAAGAACACTTCGGAAAGAGGGTGGAAGCGCAGAGCAAGAAGGTGCGTAAAGAGTGCCGAGTGCCGCTCCAGGAGATGCGACCAGGAGCTGGGGGACGCCTGGCCTGGGGACAGTCTGCGGTGCCTAGCGCGACACCCGGTTCTCACCCGCTCCACCCAGGCCGGAACTGAGGTGCTGGACGGCCAAGCCACCACGGTCCTCTTCCTTTCCCGAGTAGGGAAAAAGCCCCCGAGTAGAGAAGTGCCGGCTTCAGAGCCCAAGCAGGGATCCAGGATGTGATACGTTTTAACTTCCCCACCCATGTTTCGGGCTACCTGCTCCATCATCACTGACCATCAACGGTGCTGGCTGGGGTTGATGGGAGCTGCAGTCCAAAACGCTCATAGGTGGGGAAAGCCACTGTGCCCACTTACCTGGCTTGAGGACAAGGCGACTGCCTCCCCAGCAGACTAGCCTAGAGTCCCCTGAAAGTTAACTCTTTGGGTCCAGTGGAGGGATTTCGCCTCCACCCGTAACTGGGTTCTACTCTTGCCCCGAACAACCATCACCCACGTGGTGGTGGCTGTGATCGGGCATCACCTACATTAAAATCCGTGTAAAAATCCTCTAAGGTGAACGGATGCACCTGAACGCAGGTGTGATGCGAGGCAGCGGGAGCAGGGACATGTCACGCGCCCAGGCGCCTGGCTCTGGCGGCTGGAGTGGCTTTGAACCCGGATCCGCTGGCTCTCCGTTAGGTCAGTTTAGGGAGCGTTCCGGCCAAACCGCTTGATGGACCCGTAAAGGACTCGATCCTGGCAGGCTCCCGTGAGGACCGGAGGAGCCCCTGGTTTGCTCCCTGCTTCCATGTCTAAACAGACGCGGCAGGGAAAGGGCTTGGGGAAATTGCGCGGCGCTTCCAAAAGATGCTCTTTCTTGGAATCGAGGAGTGCTGATTCCCTTTCCCTTTCTTGCCAGGCAGAAATTCAGTCGGGGAAGTTTTCCAGGAAGCTCAAAGCCGCTGGGAAGGGGGACGTCTCCGGCTAAATTTCTGCCTTGCCGGGTAAGAAAGGACACCCGCACCTTCGAATCGGGGAAGTGCCTGCGGCCGTCGAAGGCGCCGCGCGTCCGGGCTTCCTCGGAGAGAGAAGGCGCCTGGGAGACCGCCTCGCGGATCCCAGGAAAGGAAGGGCGCCTGGAGCCGCGTTCAAGGAGGAAGGGCCCGGCCGATCAGCCGTTGCGGGCGACGTGTCGCTCTCTGGCCCTTTGCTCCCGGACCGATGCCTTGCAACCGCGTCCCTGCAAAACCCACCCCGTCTCTCGCGAGGGAGCGAGGCGAGCCCTTTTCCGGGTGCTCATTCTGCACCACAACCGGCTTAGGCTTAGGGTCGCTGAACCCCGAGGAGGATTTTTATTAAGACCGCCTGGATCCACCAGAATGGCTCCCTGTGCGGTCTTATAAGTCTATTCATTGTTTCCAACAGAAGTTACTCCTAGGTAAAATCTGGTTACAGTCGGGTGGCATTTCAGCCTTTTAACCCGGCGCGTCATTTTCGACTTCTTTATGCCACATCACTTGAGTATCGCAGAGGGCAACGCTTTGTCTATTTGCTTGGAAGCAAGTCCCATTGTCTTCAATGGGGTTTGCTGCCAGGTCAGCGCATATAGCCTCGCGAGCCTTGAACGGTATTAAATTGCAGAAACGGGGGTCGCTGCCTTCTGCTTTCGGAAGCAGACAAGGGAAAAGTCCGAGCACGTCGGTCCCCTGCTTTTTTCCCCCAGATGGTGGTTGATTTTGTATTTCTGAGAAGTTATCCGTTTTGAGCAACTTTTAAAATGGTTTGCTTTTGTTTGCTTGTTCTGTGACACCACCGTCCGTTTTTGGAAAAAGGTTGGCTACAAATATGTTTGGTGGAGGCAGAAGCATATTTAAATTCCTTAAGGGATGCATCTTGGGCGCTTTCTAATTTTGAGAAGAGTTTCCACTCTTTGTCATGTGGAGCCCGTCCCTGTGTTTATTTTCTAAGTGTTCGCTATGAACCGCTGGCAGGTGATCCGTTTTCCAGCTCAGAAGTCATGCCTACTCAGAAGTAAGTCCCGCTGAGCTCAACAGAATCATGCATAGAACTGAAGTCTTAAGCTGACATGTTACACACACTAACCGGAGAGTAAGCGCCACTGAACTCAGGACGATTTCTTTCCACCTATATGTGCCTAGGATCGGGTTGTTAAAAATCTGCTCCTTTTTAAAATTCGCTTTTATCGCATAGCAGACTTACTAAATCTATCTATCTATATTGACAGAGAATGAATAAAATCAGGGGGGTTTTTTAAAGAAAAGGGAAATTAATATTTTTGAAGCAGTGTTTTTATTTTTATTTCCTCTTTTTTCTCAAAACCAAATATAACAATGAATAAAAGAGATAATTTATTCAGTTCCTTTTCTAAAGTAATGAACGTCCCCCAGGCAACAGATTCTAAACCTTAACTTTCACTAACTGTAGAAAGAATTGTTTCAAAGGGGAAAATCCAATATTTTATCGGGTATATAAGGAGGGGCAGAAGGGGTTAAATCATTTCCATCAGACTCTTCAAAATATCGTCTTTTTCTTCCAGCTTGCCAAGTTCAGAGAACCCCTTTATAGCTTAGGGCCTGATACTACATTTGGTATAATTTGCCTACTAACAATTTACAAGTTCGGTTCCAACGGGGACACACTGAAGAGTCCAACATCTTGATTTGCTTTATGCTCAAGGGAAGCCATGCTCCTCTTGGAAGTTCACCGCTTTACAAAGCACCCCAAAAGTGTTCTGCCCACCCTGGTTTCTAAGCACGGAAGCCAAAATGTCTCTTAAGCCACCTACTCGTACTTCATGCTGTAGTCCCTCTCTTTTAAAAGGCAACAGAAGGAAGCGAGATCCTGTTGGTTTAATAGTAGGAGTAGTAGTAACAACAACAACAACAACAACAACAACAACAATTCTGTTCTGAGATATGGTATTTTGCTCCACGTCCCTGCAGAAGAAAGTTTGGCTGTCCCATTGATGGGATCCAGACAGGCGAATGGATTTCAAAAAGTGGCTGCAGAGGGAAATCTCTGAGGCTGATATGGGGCATTATTTGCCCTTTCTTCCCTGACAAGTCTGGCAGGGCCCAGATCCAACAAGCGGAATTCCAACGAGCGCCGGAATGCACCGTGCCTCTGGTGTACTCTTTGGGAGCATGGGTACCAATGCAAACGCATGCATGCATGCACACTTCCTCTACCTGCCTTGGCCGAGTGAGCCCGGAGAGATGGAGAAGAGGCGCTTACCTGAGGTGGTCAGGAAATAAGGGTGGTGGTGGTGGTCCGGCTTGTGAAGCGGGTGATGCGGATGAGGCGCCAGGATGGTCGGGGCAGGCATCAGGGGGTAGCCATAGTCCAGCAGAGGAACCCGGGAGGCCAGGGGGCTGTGGAAGTGCTCAGGGGCCACTTCCCGGAGGGGTTTGGGCTTGTGGAGCAGAATGTCTTCGATGAAGAAGGAAGTTGGCCTCTGCGAAGGGACTGAGTGGGTCACTGCGTGAGAGGTGAAGTTCAGGTTCATCTCTGCTGCTTGTGGCACAGACCTGGGCTTGGAGGAGCTCCCTGGCACCTTTCTCCCCTCTCTCTGTTTCCCTCTGTCTCTTTTTGTTTCTGCTGAAACCAATCCCCAGATGATTCCTTGTCGCCTCCTTCCTCCCTTCTCGGTCTGGAGAAGCCACGAGACAAGAGCAAGGTGGATCTGCAAGGGCTTTCGCGATTAGGATGGGTGGGTGGATGTGCGTTTTTCAGGGCCTCTCCAAAAGGTGATCTCCAGCGAGCCAATCGCGAACTAGCAGGGCGGAGGGAAAACTGACTGTGCCCAGTTTCACCTACCACCTGAATGGCGGCCGGGCGCGGGGTGGGGGCCCCCCCCGCGGGGGTGTCGCTGGCCATGGTGCTGAAAGAGAGGGGACTCGGCTGCTTGTAGAACAGAGGCTTGGAGGGAGGTGGGGCTTCGCCCTATGGGGCTGAATAATGATAACAAGGCTATTTCGTGGATTCTTCTCTTTCTACATGGACAGTGCATCCATGTAGAATAAGACTGTGATGTACTTGAGGACCACATGCACTAGAAACAGATGCACGCTATTCCCGTACATGATAATATGCACACGTTTTCTCTGAGATTCCTTCCCATGTCAAATTCAGCACAAGTTCTCATGCTGATGGTGCAACCCAGTTGATTAGAGTTAGGACTTCGGGGTTGGTGTGGATTGGCATGGCAGAGCGTCAAGCAGAACGTTAGGGAGAATCACCCATTCTCGGTTTCTGTTCCTCTGGCTGCAAGGAACTGTTGGGGACACCAAGGTGGACGGGCTGAAGTGGGATCAGCAATTGCAACTGAAAGCACCCCTGCCTACAGGCCATGTTGGAAACAGTCAGCTTGTTGCAGGAGGCGGGTGGTCTTTTTTATAGCTGAAGGATATTTTGATATTGTTTTTCATTGCATCTGGTTTTGTTGAACATTTGTACATTTAATATGGTTTCATTAATTTGATTTTTAATGGTATAAGTTCCTTATTGACCTTCTTTCAAAAGAAGAAGAAAAAGAAGAGGAAGAGAGAAAGAAAGAGAGAAAGAAGTAATGATTCGTAGGCATTAACTTTTCTCCAGCCAACTAACAGCTTAATTCTGGGCAAGAGCATTTTCACATTTAGCAGGACTTGCATCCTACTGAGCAAGGCTGGCATAACAGTGATAGCCAGAAATGGCAACAATACAAACTTTGTTCGACCCAGTTAAAATCACTTATTTCTATGGCCCAAGGCAGTCATACTATGCATGATTATTTGAGGGTAGTTTTCCTGAACTCAGCGGGACTTATTTCTGGCTTACACTGAAGTCCTACACTGCAAACTTCTTTCAACTTGATTCATTTTGCGGAAGCTCTCAGGAACTGCTTTCCTGTGTTGGGTGGGTCAAAAGAGTGGGGTAACATATAACACCCCCCATAATATTTAATACTCATGCTATCAGTAATACAGCCTTAGGAGAGATATTTCAACCTTTACAAATTGAGAAAATAGTGCACACAAGCTGGGAAATTCACAGGATGGTTGGTGACACTCTGGAGAACCTCAGTGAATTAGAGGGATTCCAAAATGTTGCATCTGGTGACTGAGGTTCTGCATTTCAGAGATCCACACAAACCTGGGAGTAAACTCCATTGAAAACACTTCTGAGTAGACCCACACTGTTAACACACACAGGTTGGGTTCAGACAGCATGAGGATCCACACTGGTTAAGTGTGGGTTGCAATCACACCACAGTCATTGTGTGGTTGTGAACCAAGATGCACTAACCAAACATGTTTTAGTTGGGTTGTGAAATGTGTGTGTGTGTGTGAAGGGAGGGACTTTGCTAACCATCCTTGGTTTTTTAGTGTGGCTGGATTCAGAGGACATAACCCACATTTCAACACACACAACCCATATTCAAGTCTTGTTGTGTTGTCCAAACCCAGTCATAGAATCAGGGGTAACGTTCTGTTGGTTTCAGTGGGACAAGCAGGTATGCTTAGCCCAGTAACCACATGTCTACATCATACCAGGTCCACCGATGCACCACATCATGCCTGTACATCTCAGCCAGCAGCCCAGCTCCACTGGTGGAATATTTTGCTGGTCTTCTGGAAGTTCTGCCAGGATCTTTTGTGTGGACTGTGGGCCTGAAGCTTCACCAGTGAAAAAGGTCTTGTGGCATTGGCTCTTCCCTCAAGCAGGGAATTTAGGGTTAGAATTGTGCTGCCAATTTCCAAGCCAAACTAATAAGAATTCCAAGTCCGTAAGTGTTGTATGTATTTCATGACAAATGTTAATGGGAAGCCCAAAGGAAATGGAATATGTTTCAAGGAATGAGACTGAGTGGGTAATATGCCTGATGGCCAAAGGCCTGTTTCTTCATGTACATAAGCAAATCATAAGCTCACATTGGAGAGTGAATGTAGATGTTATCTTTCTTAAAGCAGATTCCCAGAGAGAGAGAGAATGAGAGAGAGGGGGGTGGGGGAGTGGAATGGATTGGAAATTGCATCAAGCATCAAGAAAGATGACCAAGGCACAATGGAGCCCATGGGTTCCAAGTTGTCTATTCTTGTATTAGATGCACTGAAAACACGAGCAACGTAAATCCCATTGATTGCAATGGACCTGCTCCAAGCATGACTGGGTGCAAGCCTGTACAGGTTTACTCAGAAGTAAGCACATTGTAAGCACTGGCGCTTACTCCCAGGTAAGATAGGATTGTGCATCTAAATCCAGTCCATTAGCTGGTTGGGATTTTATTCCAGCTCATTTGCCTTTTAATGCTATATTTCACCCCTTATTCTCTATTTTCGCTTCCTTTTCCTCATCCTCTTTCCTTCTGTCTCTCCCAGCTTGTTTGTAGAGGGTTTTTTTTTTCTTTTTTTAACTCCCTCCTAATCTGTAACATTCATTTCCCCAGAGTCAATTTGCTAAAATTAGGGTGATACACCACATCATAGCTGAGATAATTTCAGCTCGCATCTCAGAAAATTGCTCTAATTATTGATGTTAAATTCAGGGAAATTAAAAGAAGGTACTTCTCCTTCATCTCCTGATTTTAAGCTCTAATTTGTCAAAATCGAGTTGTCATCACAATTCCAGTCAGGGGCTGCTAATAGTCAAAATGTTTTAATAGAGCCAGAATTCTTGCAACCCATGCTATTAGATAATTAGGTAGAATGTTAGAAAGACAAGTGGTAATCCTTGGGCGCATGGACAGCAGCTCTCTCTAATCCTGCAGGTAGAACAAATTAATTACTGGAATCAATTAGGCTGAAAAGTACAGTTCTCCAGGAAGTGTAAACCATGCCATCCATATGTATGAGCTGGTAAATGGTAAATAAATGGCAAAACCCTGAAAATAATAGGAACAGCAATCATGATAGTTTAATGAATCCGCAACTCGGAGAACATGAGTTAATGTTACTCTAACTCCCTCATGTTTGTGTGGAGGATAATGAAAAGGGCCTCGGTACATCTCAGTGTTCCAGAGATCACTTCATCTCTCTGCCTTATTGGATCATTAATGCACCTCGCTGTAACGTAAACATGGCTGCAAACAAAGCAAAAGCAGGAGCTCGTTCAGAAGTCCCTCTCCCCAGTCCAGTGAGTGAGCAGGCTGGCATTCAGTGTAGGCGCCAGGCCTTGGAGGGCCCTAGGACCAGACCACCTCAATGGCCCCCCTCCCTCCCTCCCTCAGCGAGTGCCCCTTTGGCCACCATTGCCATGGGATGCTCCGGGTCCTTCTGCTCTTTCTCATCATGGCAGAGAGTTGGCAAGAAAGAGCACCTCCTGCTCCTCATTCCCACCACCACAAGGGGCAGGGGAACAAAGGGGCTGCAGTGCCGAAGGAGGAGAAACAAGGCCGTGGGGTTCTTGCCGGTGGCAGCTATGCAGTACATCATTTGCTTGCTTCAAGATGTGGCAAGCAGCTCTGGTGCATTTGGAGATCCTCCAGCAGTCATTCCACTGAGACCGTTCCCTGAGGTCCTGTAATTTGTCGTGACCTTCTTTTGTTCATTTGTATCTTTCCCCACCTTGCAGGGCTGGAGGTACAAATACATCCAGTTCTCACGCCACGTCACAGCTGCTTCTGAAACCAAAAGAAGTTTGGTTTCAAATCTGGTTTGTTCACTGAGAACATGAGCAAAAAGAAGTTCAAGAAAAGCCCTGTGTTCCCAGCCATGTGCTATGCACACAGTTATGTGAGTCCTTGGACCCTTGCTTCCAAGTTTAAGACATGGCAGGTGGGACTAATGGGTTTAATGTGCAGAAGAGAGGAGGAACCCAAGTCCTTGGGTGCATCCAAAGAAATCTTTGGTTTCCAGAGTAGTTTTACTTGTACGGTACTGTATTATGCATTGGACAATAGCTAATTCATTATTGGTACCAGTGACATTGTATGGCTGAGGTTCAGCTCTGCTCCACCATATACGGACCTGCAATTATTTACATTGTAAGCCTCTAGATGTCCACTTGAGAATCTGTCCCACTGAATTAAATCGGGCTTACTCCCAGGCAAGTGGGAGAAGAATTGCAGCCTAAGGTGTTCCTTGCAGTTGTGAGAGAGAACAATTTTATAGACTTCCCAGCACCTTCCAGCATGTCCCAGTCAGCTATGCTGGTGGGGCATGACATGTTGGTTGTTGTAGGATATTTTTCCTGTCTAAATACGAATGGGATTGAACCCTTAAACATGAAATATGGGTTGACATGCAAAACAAGTAAGTAGATTTCATTATAGCTATATGAGATCACAAATGATTAAGAAGTATTCGCTACCCACCCATGCACAAATGTATAGAAAAAGTTGTTCTGTTTTGGGGTGAGAGACAGCTGTACACACAGACACCAAAGCACAGACAGAAGCTCTTTGAGGTCATCTTGAACTCTTGCCCTGCCTGGAAAAGTAACTCCTGCATTACCTTAGGATTTGGGCCAGGTGCTTTAGAAAGCCAACGGGCTAACAAGTTTTCTCTTAGGAGCAAATGGGGAAAG